CGTGGAAGGGTGGTTGACAGAGGATGTGACTTTGAAATGAACATGTCAGGGTATAACAGTTTGTAGAATGTTTTACAAAGCTTGCCTCAAATGCATGGCTGAACTCTACATGATCAAAAGCAATTGGTCAAAAGATAAGATGAAAGTTGGAACAGATAAATGCTCCAGGACTCGTGAAGGTTTTATGCTTCAGTATGTCACGCTATAATCAAATCGAGGATAATATCTACGACGGAATATGAAGTAAATAGTCTATGGAAAAATGCTGACAATATAAGAGTGTGCATGGTCGATGGAAAAAGGTCATTGAGCCTCTGGGGAGTTCTTAAATAACACATAACACCACTGCTTCACATTGCAAAGAAGTGCGATGAGGTCTCTTATGAAATAGGATCAATACAAATGGAAGCCCAGCGTCCATTGAGTTAATGCTATTGCCACTTATCAGTTTATGAGGAAAAACCTCACCATATCAGAACAAGGCTCTAGCCTTGCCAATTTTCTTCCCCAACAATCTAATTATTTTAAGTGAGCCATATTTTGATATCTCCGAACTCCGCAAACATATGACATGCCTCATCATGCATGCATTACGTAATCATCATGCATGTTTACTTCCTCAACGGCTTTATAGCCAAAATACAAGTGGAAATATACGAAAATTAATGTTAAACAATAATATATATGATCGAATTTCAAATCTATAACCTATACTCAACTCAACCAAAGAAACATGCAAAAAACTCCGAGCAATTAAGCAGGAAACAGAGACGTGCATGAAACAATAACAGCGACATTCGAAACAGTTGTGGGACATTTATTCTTTAATAACTCGATGCACGACAAACAACGAACACCCCTCACACGCTTACCCTCCAGCGCCTGAGCAGATCGTGAGAGGCGTTCTTGGTGTTGGCTATGTCGAACGGATCTGAGAACTCATCATCTCCCTCCCACACTCTTCCACCGTCATCCACGGGGGCGGACGAGGACCCGGCCTCCAGGTCGCGGAGAACCGCGGCGTCGCTGCTGGTCGTCATGTCGGCTGTCAGCGAGGACGAGGAGTTAGAGAGACGGCACCGTCGCTTCCACGGAGCCACCACTCCGTCAGGGGTGAAGAAAACGTCGGCGAACGATTCGTGAAATCACCAATCGAGAACAAAAAAAAAAATAATCTCCGATTAGGGGTTAACGCTCCACACGGTGGCTAGGGTCGCCGGAGAAGGAAAAAAATCGAGTGGTTAGGCCCGCACTAAGGAAAATGGAGGATTGGGGGCGTGGCACATTTGGGGGGTTGTGTGTGTGTGTGTGTGTGGCTTTTTTGGGGCGTTTAATTGGGGCGGGTGGGTATGCTATTTCCATGCTCGGCTGAGTGGATAATCTGTGGGAATCCGATTCTACCGCCATGGTGCGAGGACGAGAGAGAGAGAGCTACATTTCAGGGGAAGCATTTTTTGAGCTGAATTTCATTTTTTCGCCATACGAGGAAGCTTCAGCGAAATTTCCCGCGCAGGAAAAATAGGATAATTTTCGACTATGAACTGGTTTTATGGGATCATGTATTGCACTATTTATCGTAATTTTGATTGTTAATTTTGGCAGTGCTATAATGAAGATATTGAGAAAAAGCTCTTGACAAATGACAAGTGTGTCTAGTTTTATCGAATCACGTATTATGTAATTTTATTTTTTTTGGTACAAACGTATTATGTAATTTTGATTGATGATGAATGACTGTCTCAGTGTATTTTTGCAACATAATCGATAAATTTAAATTCCAAATATTTATTTTGATAATAATAATAATAATAATAATAATAATAATAATAATAAATATTTGTTAAGCGTGTTTTCGTAACACAATCATATAAATTGTTACTCTCAATTTTGATTGTAGATTATGAAATCTATCATTATATAAAAAGAATAACCTTTTTACAAATTTAGAAACTTTTTCCCGCCAAAATCATTAAATATATCCTAATATAGTAATTGTTGGACAAATCTAAATAGACAAAAAAATCGGCTCATTTTTTTTAGTTTATCAAAATTGTTGTTTGACAATAAATATTTGTTTTTCTTTTTCCTATTTTTAGTATAAATCTACACGTTTATCTCTTCTGTTACAAAATCTCATTGCATACGTCTCCCGTGTTTAANTATATTATCTTACACACAATAATTTTACATTATTTGATCTCGAATCTTTAATTTATAATTATTAAGTATTGTTTATCTTCCTCTTTAATTTATAATTATTTTTTTGCTTCCTCTTTTTAAATAGGATCAATAGTAGTTTCCACTTCAGTCATTGAGTGACTCAAACTCGAGGTCTATTTATAATATTGTTAATTTAATATTGTTTCCGTGCATCGCACGGGGTATACACTAGTGTTATAACGAAAATATTGACGAATACTTTGTCATGTGTTATTTTGCAACACAATAATCGTTAAATTTAATTGCTGGTTTTGATACAATATTATAATAAAAATGAATTTTTGTTCAACGTATTTTTGTAACACAATCTTATAAATTATTGTCGTAATTTTGATTGTTGATTTTTCACAATGTGATGATGAAAATATTGATAAATGCTACATCAAATTTTTTTTAACACAACAATTTTTTTTTTTATTTTAATAATCATAAAATGAGAAAAATAAAGATGTTTGTCAAGTATATTTTTGAAACACAATCTTATAAATTATTCTAAAGTTTACGTCTAATTTCCACACTATTTTTCTTATAAATATTGGAAATTGGGAACATGAGTTTTGGGTGATGGATTGCTTGTAAATGATGTGTAGTGTCTTCAAAGCTATTACGATGAATTGCATGTAATTTTGTAATATATGAACGTATTTGTAATTTTTGGTTTCATGCAAACTGAAATAATAAATAGATAATCTATCTGTTATGAGTCAATTATATATATATATATATATATATATATATATATATATAATTAACCATTTTTTTCAACTCGTGAAACAAACAAGTTAGTTTTTTTATACACAAGTCTACCATATTTTATTTAATCTTTCATATATTTTAATATAACATATTCTCTTGTTATAAATTATTTAATCAGTCATATTCTATTATTAAAAACCAATACTCCTTGAAACGTAGGTATTTTACGACGAGTGCGCTCAACGTTGTTAGAACACAAATAAACAACTAGAATAGCAGAAGCAATAAACCGAAGATTTAAAAACTCTTCAGGGAAGCGTCCCACTTCCCCTCAGAGCTCTTTCATTGATAACTCGATTGCGCACATGGGTATAGTTTTGGAATTACAGCAACTAGAACTCCCTTCTAGCATAACCAACAACTATACTCGAATCTACCAACTACTTCTCCGGCCACGTCCCGTGGACTTTAAATAACACTTAATCCCTAAGTGCTGATCACAATAATGTTTGAAAAACAAAGAAAAGAAAAGAAGACGACTTCAGTTCTTCGATATGTAAGAACACTGAAAACTGAACTGAGAACTAAAATAAAAGAAGACTTGAAGCTCGAATAGTAGATGAATAATAATGATCTCAGCAGCCTAAATTCGATCTTCAAGTAGGGTATATATACAACTCCTTAGGTGTGAAGTCTTCTCCAAGTTCTTTCCTTCTTTCACGATCTCCTTTGATCTTCTTCCCAAAAATAGTGTAGTAACATAGAAAGTAAATCTTCCTTGATTGTATGTGATTTGGAGATCTTCAGAATTGAGTTTTCAATGGAAATCTTCGTGGTTCCAGACTCGTGTAAGAACACAACTTTCCTAATATAGCCGATCTTCCAAATCTTCAAAGATCTTGTAGTGAATCTTTCCAAATCCTCATTAGATCTTCTAGATAACGTCCAGAATTCCTTATACACGAATTGCTCATCCTTTCATAGTCTTTGCCACTTATTCCTTGTCCTACAAGAGAGAGAAAACTAATTATGGCATAGAATCAAGCTCATTAATGCATGTGGCATATATGGTAAGTACATATATAAGATAAATATTATGTAATCCTTCTTCTAAAGGTTTAGGATTCCATAATACACATTATAATAAATATATAACATATATTATTAATAATAAATAATAGGAACTTAATTAATTAACAAGTAAATAAATAGAAAATTTTCCTTTATTTTATTTTGCTTGCATAACAAGAAAATCTTCTAGAAAATACTTAGGTTTTTCGGATGATGCCAAATCAATATTGTTACACTCCTGAAATATCATAAATTATAATTATTATTGCTTAATAATTTCATCTATTATTATAAACTATTTAATCAGTCATATTCTATTATTATAAACTATTACTCATGAAATATCATAAATTTATTATTGTATCATAAGGTTAGAAATATAGTTTGCATGATTGCAATTACTACAAATGAGCATGATATAAATATCAACTTTCAACAAGATTTTGCCCAACTCATTGGAGCAAAAAAGTTTACGATATCGTGTCAACATGATATTAATAACTTTGAACAAGAATTTGCCAACTCTTTGGAGCCCAAAAGTTTACAATATCATGTCAACATGATATAGTACCATCGGTTACCAACATTTAAACTGCTTGATAGTTGGTGCTTCTTAAATAAGATATAAATATCAAAACATAGATGGGTCAATGGTCATTAACATGCATGATGATGAACCAAAAAAACAAGAAACCAACTCTATTAAAGGCAAAAGGAACAACATTGGCCACAAGATCACATAATCTTCATGTTCTAAACGAATATACCCTCAAAATCCAAAATTATAATCTCAAAATCCAAAATCATATAAAGGGTGGGACAAGATCTAGTTCATTCTTCTAATGCTCTCGTTGATGTAGTCTTCATGGTTCCCAGCATCTCCTCTTTCAACATAGTGATTTCTCTGACCACCCAAAGGAGCCTTCAGTTGGAATGGCCACGGAAAGTTGCTAGCCTCCCTAAAGTGCAGTCCCACAGTCATGATCTCGTGAATAAGATCCTCCACACAGTGATGCTATGTTTGCCAAGTGTTTGAAAAAGAAGTCGTGCCACGGTTAAAATAGAGAGGGACTCGCGCTGTCGAAGCGATTCCCTCCAGCCTCGCTGTGTTGTGGCTCCTCCGGTGGTCAGGCATTGGCTCGCCACCGTTGGTTTTCGAGTCTGCTTCTCCCCTACAGCGTTGAAGATTTTTGAAGCCCAGATATGAATTGAGAATCGCCTCCTCGCCAAATTTGTCTAGGTGACTCGAGTTTGGTCGCAATTTTTGGATTTGGGATTTCGATTTGCAGCTTTCTTGGGATTCTGTGTTTTGGGATTGTCTCGTGAGTTGGTTTATGTAGGCGTGTGTTTTGCTTGCTTGTATTAGGAAAAGTTTTATTCTATGTGTGGATGTGTATGTTGTTTGTGTCTTGTTGTTTGTTGTGCAATTCCAACAACGTCTGGCTTCTAGTCCTCTTGATGGAGCTTTTGTTTTGCAGGTATTTGTACCCCCTTGTTGGTCGTCTGTGTGACTCTAAGAAGTGGTCTAGACTTTGTTCTGGTTCCAGTGTGTCATTTGACACCTCGTGTGTACTCTTTATGAGTTTTCATTTTTCAAGCTATTAATATAATTATCGTTTGAAGAAAAAAAAAAGACTATAGACAGTTCACTTATCTGATCAGCACTAGACAAATCAAAATGATTTCTGGATATAAATGGTTGGTTGAATATGATGAAAATCAATTAAAAAAACCATCATAACAGCCCTTTAGAAAATCTATTAAGTGCCACTAAGCTGATCCAGTCGCAAGCAAACATAAGCCCCAAAAACACTACCAAGGAAACAAAAAATAACAGTGATAAAAGTTTCACGACATGTGATGGTTAACTTTATGTTCGGGGAGTTGCTACTGTCAGTGATTGCCCATTCAGTGGTTATTAAATGGCCACTGTGGCCCAAAAAAGGATCAAAGTTGACAAATTTCTTCCCAAACAGGAGAAAAGTATTCTAAGCACAAAACACATAACTCTAATGCGAGCAGCAAAGCACTTTCGACTCTTTAATCTAACTTTTTTTTTTCTGCAGATGGAAGCATAGAATCTCTTTTTATTTTGACCTTTTCCCCTCCTTCTTCTTTATAACCTCATCAATGTTTATGTACATAATACCTTTGCCTTTGTAGATATCAGGCGGCTTACAGCTACGTACAGCAGCTGCAAATTGGTGGACCCTCTCCTTGTGAATCCCTGTGCAGCAAACCACATTGTTCTTGAAGCAAAATACTCGAACAGCTGAAGGCACAGCTAATTCAACCTCATGGCTGTAGCCGAGCTTGAGGTACAAGAGGCGGCCTTCGGATTCAACTCTAGCTTTGAAACCGACACCGACAATTTTTAGAAGGCGGAAGAATTTAGCTTCCATGAGTGAAGGCAATTTAATCGACTTGCCAGTTGCCTGCATTAATGTTGATGTTGAGGAACATGTCTTTTATAAATGATGGTACGGAATATCAAACTCCACTAATAATTTTCATCTACTGTTTAACAAGTCAGAAACGATAAAAGGAAATAAGATGTAACAAAATATGCACGGCTAGGGGTGCACAAAATATGGTTCACCGTTTCTGTCTAAATTTCCGTTTCATCTTCGGTTCGGTTTTAAACAAAAAATCCAGCGGTTTTATAGGTTAGGTTATCGGACAAAACGGAGAAATGGCAAAAATAATTTGGAAACCTAATCAGAAAATTTGAGAAGCAAACTGGTTCAGATGTCAACAACTTGGAAACCCACGAGCTTTATTCAGAAACAAATTGGTTCAGCTCATTAGCTCAGATCAAAGACATAAAAATTAACCAAAAAAGGAAATAACGAGTTTGAATTTGTTCAATCGAAATTCACAGAATTGGTTCAGTCGAAACAAAATAATCACGAGTTAAAAGAAGAAAAAGAGCTTCAAAGTCTTGAAAATCACGAACCTGAGATGCAGCCCGTAGGAGGGGATTTGGGTGGCGAATTAATTTGAGACCGAGCGATGATTTAGGTAGCGATTTGGGATTTCAGACTTCAGAATTCAGAGCGACGATTGAAGACATTGCGGGGGAAATTCCACTGTAGCTTGATTTTTTGTTTTGAAAGTTTCAATTTTAAATTATTATCGATATATGACCTACTTTTACATTCTACTTTTTAATTTAAAATTTTAAAACACTTTGTATTTCGATATAATTATGCAAACAACAATACATTTTTTAAAATTTATTTATTAAGTACTTATAATGAAAAAATATTAAATATCTTTATTAAATTATCTAATCTTCTTATATATTTCGTTTAGCCTAAGTGGCAAACTCGCATTCCTCGAATTTTGGGTGTCAAAATTTCATGCTTCATTATTTGAGTTGGATAGACTTTAATTTAATTTCAAACTAAAAATAATTAGGTCTGAATTACCATAAATATGTTGATTAATTATGATCATTTTTTATTTTATTATACACTTAAAATTGATGTACTTCATTTATTAGTTTGTTGCATTTTTTATTAGTAGTAGTATACCAAAATAATAATAATAAAAAATAAATGGACTGAAATGCAAATCTTGATTTGTGCATGACCCTCCTCGAGACTGAAACACGTTTCCCCATTAATTGAAACGACAATAGCCTTGCACCATTAGGCTCAATTCAATATTTCAGAAACTAAAGACAACAACCGACCATGTAACGTATTAATTCCAAAATTTGCATGTTTTTATTATGACTAAAACGTGTAATAATGNAAAAAAACAAAGTCCATTACATTCCGACGAACACGAAACCCGCCTCACTATTCACATTATGTCGATCGGAATTCAAATCCGGCTTACCCCAAGTAAAGGAATTCCACGAGACTACATTCTTGGAATTGAAAATAATAGAAATCGATACTTGTAATGATTTACGCTGATGGGACTACAGGATTGTGGGCTTCGATAACCAAGTGCCTAATACCCGGGACAATTTCTTGAATCTCTTTTTCAAGCCGATCGACTTCACTCCCAAGAGCCGTGACAACCTCTTCGCCTGCAACCAACATCACACTTTCATTTTAAACAGGCAATTTCACGGTTTAGTTATGAGTAATATCCTGGAAGTTAGGCTATGTTCGTTAAAACTAGCTGATAAACTAGTTTATAGTTTATAAATAATTTTCGAGTTTATATCTTATAGCATATGACTTATGGTTAGTTTATATGATAAAAGTGTTTGGTAAAATTAGCTGATAAGCTAGCTAAAATAAAAATTTCAACAAGTTTATTTGAAAAGCTACTCAATGAAGCTTATGAGATAAGTATTTGAATACAGAAATCTTAGAGCTAACCCAATAAGCTATAAGCTAGCTTATTTAGTTACCAAACATAGCCTTAATACTACTCTTGATTAGGGGAGTCTGTTTGGATAATGGAAACCTCGAGGGGGTATTTTGTGATTGTAAAAGTTAAATGAGGTATCCGGCAATTAGTTGAAACTCAAGTGTTGTTAAGAGCTAAACGCTATCTCGATTTTTATTGCATATCATACCATAGTTTGACATGATCTTGAGCAATGCAGTATCGTCCTTGGCTTTGGCAGCCTCCCGAAACTGTATATATGCCATGAACAAAATTTACTTGAGAAGCAATGGCACGTAACGGTAGCATGCATTTTCTAACAATGAAATATTTTTTTTCTTTTTCAAATACATATGTGTGGGGAATTAAACAAGTAGTATTAAAATAGATTGTGGGTAGAGTATGAAGCAAATCGGTTCTCCCTATAAATCAGAACCGAGCAAAAATTTAACGACTTGAAGGAAATTGAAAATTGAAATCACCTGTTTAGCCCACTCCTCGCGTCCGGTTCTCTTTAGATAGTTTTGCACCAATACTACACCATTGAAGTCTGCAACAAATATCATGCTATAACACATTGAAATTCCAATAAATTTTACCATGTCAAAAGTTACCGAAACACTTTTTCTAATGTATGGGCATCAAAGTATCACCTATTTCACCCTTGAATCTAAAAAATCCTGGTCCAATCACCTCGCTTTTGCAATCATATACAGCATCCACAACCTGCAGAGGAAAAAAAAAAAGAATTAAAAAAGAAAAATTACACATTCGGTGAATTGCTTTGTCATGTGGCATGAACAGGCAACAAGGAGTAAGAAGATATTGCACCATACTGGATCGTTTTTCAGAAATCGGAGAACTCTTTCCATATCATGATTGTCAATTGCCCTACCAATCAAAGCATGACGATTCCTCTGAATCAAAAATATTGCTACCTGCATCATGCTACTCAATTTAGGCTCAATATAAGATGCAATTATTCGGGATAATGTATCAGCATACACAAATGAGTAACGGTAATGCAAACGTATTAGGGCTACCCTGATCATACTCATTGTTGACAAATGTCTATTCGGAAAAAAATTTCTTTATTCTTTTTTATTTCTTTAAGTGGAAAACTGAAGACACATTCTTCAATCTTAAGACTTGCAGATAATACCATCATGCTTTGCAAAAGAATATTAATTAATAACATATGAAGTCCATTAGAAAAACCCGTATACAAATCACCTACCATTCCCAAAAGGTTTCCAACAATAATCGAACCAATAGGATCATAAATTGCATTTCCTGTGGCATTTACAGCCACCAATGATGCGCCAGCAATGGCAAGGCCAGTTACAGCAGCACCGTCCTGCACCATTAACGCTATTTAACGCATTTAAATGAATATCATTAGGCAAAACATTAAATAACTATAAACCTAATAAATGGCGACGAACCTTGCTGTATTTTCAGTAACATTACTTGCTAAGCATGGCCAAATAACAACTGAGAAAAACCTTCCAGTTTTCCTTGTCCTTCTATTTAATGCTTTTCCTAGATACAGAGTATTTGCTTATTCAGTTTATTTTATTTCTAGAAGAAATTTAACATACTAGATTCTTTCTCATGATCCAGGAAAGTGAAAGACTCTAAGATTGAGTAGTTTCAATTACCATAATATACAGGTCCACGTTATAGATTAACAATTACACCATATACCAATCAAGCATACCAGCCAAATTAATTTAATCTTTCGAACTTATGAGGTTATCACCTCAGTCATGACAGCAACAGATGTCGGGTCATGACCACGCCACACATAATCGCTCACTTTCATTCCTTCAGCAGCAGCGCCTTTTCTGACAGCATGGATAGCAACAACAAGGGAAGCACCTAAGATAAATTCGCCTTTAATCACAAGGGAAACTCCAAATAGCAAAAGACACTGAATATCTTCACTTTGTAAATAAATCCAACATTATGATCAAACAATAAGGATATTCCACCTTCAATAATGAACGAGCCACCAATCACCAGAGCAGCATACTCTATATTCAGGGGGCTGAAGAGAAAAAAAAAAAAAAAAAATATTAATCTATAACTCACCACTGCACATTATAAAGATGGTAATGCTGTATTGAAATTGTGAATGTAAACTTTTAGAGTTTCCATAATTAACTTGAGCAGTTTTCTACCTGAGCAGTCCACAGATTTTGAACACCGTTGACAACAGTAGCACCAGAACCAAGACAAAATATACCAACAGCAGAAATCAAAGACCAGACAAATCTCTCCTTGGAATAACCATATCTGAGATCATATGAACAACAAGTTTAGTATAATTTCATACGTCATTACATGTCTCAGCACTCAAGGATGTTATTTTGTCGCGTAGAGTCCAGAAGCTATTTAAGCAGTCCTGTTAATAAATTAAACTAAGGTAATCATACAAATGCTAGTATTAATTGCATACTGATAACATCATTACACAGGTGCTAGTTCAAAAATGTATATCTATATTAAAAAAAAAGATAAACATGGAAACCTTTTTTTTTTTTTCTTTAATTTCAAATACTTCTTAAAAAATTGCGTTATGACTTATGTACCAGAAAAGATTACGAATCACTAGAAATCGACACAGAGGATTATGGAACACCAAAAGTTGACACCTAGGCTCGGGAAACTCTACATTTATATATAGGGAAGTATATCTCATTTACAGATTAACATAGTTAAGCAATTTTCAATTGCTCTTGTTGTGCCATCGTGAAACTTGCAAGCTTCTTAAAACAATTTTGAACTAATACTTTGATGTCAACGTGGATTTCAGAGTCCTATAAGTCAAGCAGTAAGAAGCTCTACACATGAAAGCTAAGAACACATTTCCTTAACTGGTAATTATATATGAGTATCGATAGAGGACGTACGGATGAAGAGCATCTGGGGCACGGCGTGAGCTACTTAAACCATATGCAAGTAGAGCCTACAAAATAAGCATGAGTCAATTCAAATACATGATAAACTTTGAGAAGGGGTAATTTCCAGCTACATTAGTGTCTCGTACAGCAAGTATACAAAAACAGAACACAAAATACCTGATTTGCAAAATCTGCCACTGAATGCACAACTTCAGCCAGCATTACATGGCTTGAGGTCGATAACCACACCCCAAATTTAAGAGAAAAAACAAGGAAGTTGCACCACAATGCTGTTGTAACTGCTCGCTGGCTAAACACGTATAATATTAGCTATGGAGGAAAACAAGTACAGAGAATGACCAGTTAAGAAAGATACTTCATATAATAGCTTAGCACAAAAACATGAAAGATGTGAGAAGTGAAAACAGAAACTTATGCATATATGCCCAATAAAATATATAAAATAATAATAATGGATACAATGCATAGTGTCATTGCCTTTCCCAAGCAAACTGAAAGGCACACCGTAATCCGTCATTTTTGGAAGGAAAAAGAAACAGAAGCCAAAGAACAACGAAAAGAAGTTCAATGACACACACACACACACAATAATTACCCATGATCCTCCACTTCAATCTTCTCAATCTTTTTAGCTCTGGTCAGAAGACCAGCAAACACCCACCAAATTGTTACAGCACACCAACAGTTATCACACTTAGTTTATCTCAGTCACACAGCTCAACCCGATAAAGAAAAGGAGACAGAAAATAGAACTCACTTCTTGTGCAGTGGAGCTGGTGGTGATTACTATAACAAGGCAAAATCAAGTTAGACAGGGGAACCCATCTCGACGAAGAATTAAGCCATGGCGAGCTACCAAATGCGCCGAAACTCAGCCGTCTCTGAGGAGAATTAATGCCATACTGAATTACCTCTGATGGACAAGCTTGTAATCCTGCAATTTGTGGTTCTCCGGCTCGCGCGAGGAGTCTGTGAAATGGATTTCAGAAATGGAGCAGCTGAATGGGGAATACTGGGGCCGGCCTTGCCGAAGGCGAGAGAGAATGCGACCCACCGTTCGCATTACTGCTGAAAATGATGCTATGATAACCCGACGATCAGCCTGTACAGCTCAGTACAGGGTATCAATAACTCATCTTCGTTTCTCGTTTTGAAGCTCAGGAGAAAAGGGCCATTTTAGGGTTCTGCACTGCGGTGGTGGCGGCAGCTGGAAATTCGTCGGCGGGCGGCGGACAGCAGTGGTTTTGATCTTGTAGTGGTTGCTGAAAGGATTTTAGTTTTCAAATTCAATCAAGCAAAGCATATTCCCGTGCCCATTTGAATGTGAGTGATTTTCTTTTTTCATTTTCAAGTATGAAGCGTTAACAATCTTATTTTATGAAAAACAATAAAAAAGGAGAAATAACTTCTAAAATTGTGTTGAATTTATAATATTATTGTTAATAGGAAAAGGGGAACAAAATGGTTTAAATAATATTTCTTGTACACTTGTATTAGGTTTAGTTTTAATTTAATTTATATCTATTTGTGCATGATTCACTAAACCAATCTCTTCTAATATATATACCAATCTCTTCTCTTCCTTTACTAAAATATAGATCGATTATCAACTATAAGTTCCCAACACCAAAACATCATTATACACAATGCTAAAGTTAGCCAAGTACTGCATAAACTCAACCATAGCAGTTGCAAATACAAATCCCAAAAACCACAAGAGTTCAATAGCTTAACAATAATAACACTCTCATCTGCATTCTGCAGAACTGTCAATTCAGAAAACCACAACTCTCAAGCAAAGGCCGTAAATTTCATTAAAACAAATTCTGCACCTAAAAGTACAAAACAGTATACGAAATTCAGTAAACAGTTTAGATTCAGTCATACATATGCTAATGTTACAAATCAAAAGGATGTTCAGGAGTTCAACCGTGAGAATCATCCAAAAAAACCTGCACGAGCCCGTATAACAATTTTGCTTCTTAAAGCTCTCCTCGATTTTTCTATTTCTAGGCCCTCAAGATTCAAGTAACATATATCTAATGATACAAATAAATCTAAGTTTCTTTTTTTTATTTTTCTTTTTCTAGTTGCCATTAAACCGGCCTTCTTTCCTGGCACGTGATCGAATTTCTATCTGTTTTCCACTAAACCTTCCCAATGTATTCACTTGGTCATGGCGGGTCGTGATTTTTATAGGGTGAGCCTCCGTGTTAAAAACCCATTCATCAAGGGAAATAACCGAAGGGGGTGAAAATAGGAGGTATAGATATTTCAGTGTCTCTGCCAAGAAAAAGCTCTGCATCATGTTGTCTTTCACACCAGTGTTCACCTAGGACACAAAGATGCAAAACGATATATTAATATGCTGCCGCTATAAATGAGTTGGAGTTCTGGGAAAATAGGAAGAAAGAAAAAAAGGAAATACATTGATACACCAACCAGGATTAAGTAGTATATATATGTTATTAATAATTAAATAGTACTTATTAATAATTAAATAGTACTATGGTAATCAGTAATTTTCTATCCTATTACTATTAGTAATTTTCTACCCTCAAAATATCCAGGCCATTGTGGTTATTGAGATAATAGACGAACGAAATGAATTGTCTACTAATTTATCTCTAGACTCTAGTCCAGCCCATTTTATCTTTGGAGTTCAAGCATCTTATCTCAATATGATTCGTCTTGGTAAGTATCATTGGTGCTTTCTTGATATTCAAAAAATAATAATAATAATAAATAAATAAAAGTTGATTATGATCACCAACAACAGAACCAGGGTCAGATCGTATCATGAAAAGATACTTTTCGATAAAGTAAAATTTCCGAAAGTAGAATTGGATAAAAAGAGACTTGAGGCTATAGAGAGAAACTATAAGACAATTCGCTTCATTTATTATCCCAATAACGACAATGTTAACATATTTATTACAAGCTAGATGACATTACTAATAAAAGTAATTACCTAATGCTACTATTTAGTTATAGTAACATATGCTTCTGTGATCTAGAAATGTATCAAACACACACACACCAAAAAAAAAGTGAAAGAAAAAGAAAAAATTATAAAACCTTTCCNAAAAAAAAGGAAACAGAAATGATTTAGAAGCTGAGAAGTGCTTACATCCTTTAATCCAACATATCCCGATTCTACGCGGGAGTTTTTCTCAAATGCTTGGAAGATATTCCAGCCCCACTCTTTATATGTCTTGTTTCCAGTCAAACGCCACAGATAAAAGAGTGACTCGATTGTCTCTGGCCTCAATATGTTCCAAGATGTTCCAACACTCATATCCTGAACAATAGTTAGATGAGTTGTGCAAAGGAAAAGAACCTTTTTTATTGTTATAAATGTTACAATACAGGGTTTTTTAATATATACAGAAAACAATGACCAAGCCCACCTGTCCTGAATTAAAAAAATAGTTTTCTCCAGCCAATTTTGTTGGCGTGGACTGGTAGAAATTATAGCAGGTCCATGCAAGCTGTAGAAAGAATTCAAATTATCCACTAAAGAAATTTTTCTCTACCAAACAGGCACATAAACTAGAAAAGCTAAAATGAAGAATCATGTATAAAAACCTCCTCAGCCAGAGATAAGAATTTCTTAGATTCATCAGGACCATAGTCAGTAGATCCCAATGCTATCATTCCTGGAGCAAAACAAGCAAGTTCATCCATCTGCAAGCATGTAATAAACGATAGCAACTTGTAAGAAACACACAAATTATATAACAAAATTTGAGTAACGCCCCAATGTATTTCCAACACGTGAAGTCAAACATTCTATTAGTTTTCATATTTAAACTCTTCAAAATTTGACGTTTTCTAGTTTTCTTTACTTTTCCAAACTCATGTATGGTTTTAGTTGTTTTGTGCAGTTCTTTAAATTTTTTTGTTTATTTTCAGTTTCTTTTTTGATGTGAGTTCTTTTCAGGATTTTTAAAAATTATAGTGTTTCAGGATTTTTTTTGGTACTGTTGGAATTTATTTGATTTTTGTGCTTTATTTTCAAGGAATTTGGTCGAAACCAAGAGGGTCAGACATGACAAATGCTTGGTGTAATTACTGCCCAGAAAGGATAACACACCTTATCAGTTAACGAAGTTCCAATCTTCTCACAGAGATAAGTAAAAGAAGATGGGGTAGTTCTCCGCACCAAGCTAAGAAGACCTTTCATGGATGTCTCCCACATGTCCCTGTTTATGAATACATAAAATAGTTGTTTATTACAAAAATTGGAAATTAAAAAAGATAAAATAAAAGGATGGAAATTTTTTCATGTATTTACATGAGTGAATCCACATGATGGCAAAAAATAATAATAAATAAATAAAATAAAAAATAAAAACGAGATATATACCTATAATGCTTCACTGCAGTGGTTTTGTTTCCTTGTATCCAGACCTTCAGCAAGTACTCATAGAAGCTGCACGATTTTATTTCCGAATGTTAAAATACCGGAGATATCCATGCTCTCAACCAGTGGCCGTAAAGGTTAATTCATGTTACAGATGATTTCACAATACAAGCATAGAATATCATAAGACAGTCCATTTATGTAAAATGAAAAAAAGACCTGTCCCCCATGGCACCAAAAGTTATGGTTGAATATGATCTTGTCCCTTTGTGCGGATTTATGTAGATGGGAAGCAAGCCATCAGATGGGAAGGTTTTATTAAGCTCAATAATGACATTTTCCACCTGAAAATAAAAATACGGGATTCACTTCATAGAGGGAAGAGAGAAATCTCATAAGTCTACAGGAAAGTGGATTTTCGGTTGTCGATATCTCCAAATTCCACATATAATTATAAACCACATTCAAAAGAGTACACATTCTTCATTTCGTATGTTTTGGATGATTATTTCCATTTCCTTTATTCATAATTAGGGCTGCAAACGAATCGAGCGGCTCGCGAGCGCTCAAGTCAAAGCTCGGCTTGAGCTCGAGTTTGAGCGAACCCGAGTCAAGCCTGAGCGGCTCGAGCATAGGTTTTGGAAGGTCGAGCAGCTCGAGATATATAGTGAATTACTAAGGGGGTGATTGTTTATGGATTCAACTAGTTTTTATTTGGTTTGTTTTTAACTATAGTTAATTTTGAAAAAAAGAGGTATGGTTAGTTGTTAGTGGATATATTAAAATAATATTTAAATAAAATAATTAAAGTTGATTTGATGTAAAGTACGAGAAAAATGGTTGGAAGTGATGGTTAGTTAAAATTATGTGAGTGGATGAATAGTGAATTAAAGTTAATTTGATGTGTAAGAATGATTGGTTGATATTATTTAATTATATTGGTGATATTGAAGATAGTGGAGTTGAGTTAAATTTGAGTTTTGATTGGGTTTTTTACTATTCAATTTATATCCAATCGCCCCCTAAAATACCCTTATATAACTTAATGGTAATTTTATTTGAAATTCAAGTCGAACTCGAGCCGAGCTTGAGCAATCTTTCGAGCATTTTGATTTCAATCGATCTCGAGCGATTTTCTTCTTTTGTCGAGTCGATCTCGAGCGTCATAAATCTTTCTCGAGCTCAAGCAGGTAAAAAAAAAAATCAATCTTGCTCAATAAGGCCAATGCTCGACTCGACTTGGCTCGTTTGCAGCCCTATTCATAAATGTCTAACTTGAATATCAAGTGGAGGGAAAGAGATACCTTTTGCTGATATTTGGGATCACCGGTACGTTGCGAAAGTGCAATGAATTCAATCTGCTCTGTGGCAGAATCTGCCAAGATGCTCTCACCCTAAACAAGAAAAGACATGAGCCATGAGACTCAAGGCACCCTTGCAACTAAACAGTATTATAAGGTTCGTAATTTGATGATGACAAATTTACCCCAGTCCACCCAGGATTATGCGCATTCCCATTAGCCAAGTTTATAATATTAAATGGAATACCAGAAGGAGTATCCCAAGCAGGCAACAGCCGATCAGCAATTTCTTTAGCCTTATCAAGAAAAACTTTATCTCCAGACAGATCATATGAACTGAGAAGTCCACCAACAACTCTGGATTTTTCACAAAGATACATGCAGTAAGTATGCTATTCAAGCTTCCTTTTTTTTTTTTTTTTTTNTTTTTGCTTCCTTAATGACAACAAGGTCTCGTTCTGACAAATCAGTATGGATAATAATCAGTTAAACTAACTGAAGGAATATAAAGACATTGAACCTTATAAAGCAACCTTATGGTTGTCTCGAAGACGCTGGCATCATAGTTCTTGTTAAAGTCCAAGGATTGTGCAACCCAACTGCCATGAACAACTTAGTAAGCATCAGATATAGCATATACTGGTGTTTCATTCAAAAAAAGTTCAATACACTAAACACTTGGTTCAAAAAAATTGCAAGCATGCAACTACAAATATGTATGGAAATAGGTTCAGTGTAAGTTGAAACGGGAGGAACTCATTTCACAAGTAACAATCAGATAAGATTAAAAAATTACATATAGTTACAACTTCTCTTCTTAAAAGTTATGATACAAATCCAGCTTGATCAGTTCATACCAGCCCAACTTCTATGGGTGTTTATAGTAATTAGAATCAATCTGACCTATAAAGGATGCTAAACACTTCACAGATACCATACACAACAAATTTTTAACCCAAACTTATGGCTGATCGGAAGACAATGATGTTGATGTCATTAATTCTTCAATGTAGACACAAACAATACAAATGGAGGAAGAAAATGCATATGTAAAATAAATACAGCAGTAACCCATAAAAGGTAATCTAGACTTACTCTCTAGCCTTTTGGAACTGATCCTTCAATCCCATTATGTATAGAGTGTCAAGAGCATCAATTAAAGTTGCTCCAAGACCACCGAAGCTATCGACACCATTTTTTGACTGAGGCTGGCAACCAAAAATGCATATTCACGTTCAGAAGAGGAAGAAAGAAGAAAAGAAGGAAGGGGAAAAAATCACTACAACATTGAGACAATTAGGCATAGTATGATCTCCTATCAAAAAGTTGTAAAGACGAAAGGGAATAAAAAACTTGACCATTTAAATTCGGTACTAGAAACTGAAACTAAAGATAATGGCAATAAAAAATCTGTAACGCTATACCTGGAGTTCATCATGACCCCAAGCATAGTTTTCATATGAACTCCATGCATGAATCATAGCATCTTTAACTTTCTCTCTTCGTTCAAGGTCAATTGGATCATCAAAACCACCTGAATTCCTACTCGCTTTATTAATGTGATGATCATTTTCCTTCCCTGCTCCACTTTGACCAGCTTTTAGATCTTGAAGCTGAAAGAACAACCAATTCTTAAGTCATATACTTATTAAAGACAAAAGAAAGTAGAGCATTGTACAAAAAACTTCTATTAATTCAACTCAATGTAAAGAGTTATTGGCATAGACTGAGATATACATTAAACCAATCCAATTCTTCCTAACCTGAATAAAAGATATCATAAGAGTAACCATAATTCAAGAATCTAAGGTAGTTAGAATGTAAAACCATAGACGAAAAAGGTTGGTGACAGAGCATCTAACACCTCTATAAGAAGACACATGAAGAGCCTTGAGAAGAAGAAAAAACAATAAATATTTCAACTCACTTGACTTTGTAACCGATTAACTTCATCACTCAATTTAGACAGCTCTTCCTGCATAATAATAAAAGAATCTGTTAAACGCAACGAACAAAATAATGCACTTCAAACCCGAAAAAGGTAATAATCACCCATAAAAGAAAATAAAATTTATGTCAAGTTGATTTTTTTGAACACACAGAAAGAAGAAGAAGAAGAACTATATGAGGCAATTTATTCCCATTCAGAGGTATCTATGTGACATTTC